CTAATTTTCTGAGATTGTGGATTTGGGGTTTTCGTGAGCTGTAAGCCATAATCATCACAGTTATGACACATCACGGCTTGAACTATCTTGCTTTGCATATAATGAGTCTATCTCATATATTAGGTTCACCTTTTAAGTTGCATTACTGAAATAAATGAACTTTTGCACGATATTCTAATTTTTCGAGTTTCACCTGTAATCATTAAGGCATGTAATTATAGATTTTTTTGGGGACTGGTACAATGGTACAGTCTTAAAACATGATGGAACTATAGCCTGATGCAACAAAAGATTGAAGATGTCTGGTCAGCACACCCCTTAAGTACTTGCCCAAGGATATTATCAGGACCCACAGCCTTTCACGTGTTGACTTTCCTTAAGATCTTCCAAACTTGTATCAAACTTAAGCACTGTTCATCAGGAAGGGGAACAGTCTGTCTTGTTGGAACGTTATTTGACGCCTCAAACCATCCCAAAAAACATGTTGAGCTTATTTAGAAAATCCGTGTTACTCTTATGTGTCAGGGGAGCTGCCTTATAATGAGTGATAACCCGGATACCTTGCCACATGCGTCTAACAATTACAATTGCAGGATTTAATATTAGGCAGTGCTATTACGAGAAGCAGTCCAGGACAAACATAGCCCGCGCAGACAGAAGATGAGCTCATGGTTAATGTTGGCTTCGTTGGTGGCATGGACTGGGGGGGGGGGGAGGAGAAGGCGGGGATTCCCTTTTCCAGCTGGAGTAGGCAGAAAAGGGGATTCCCCCTTTCAGAATGCTCGGAAGTTCGGGATTGTTCCGAGTGACGTCACAGGAGGTTGCTCGCTGGTTGGAGAAAGAGGTGTTAGAAGAGCAGGGAGGGTCCACGAAATTACGTTCTGGGCCTCTTGAAGGCAGCGGGCACCCCTGCTTAGCCCTCTTCGGGGTGATGCCCCCCACCCAGCCTCTCTCTAGGCCGCTCTCGGACGGGAACCCTCATTCCTCCCTTCCAGTCGCCTCTCCAGCTCATGGTGGCGGCTGTTTCCTGAACTCTCGCGAGGTTTCAGCGCAGGACATCGCTGCTGCGGCTCGAAGCGGCGCCATTTTGGGATGGACTGACTGGTGCGAGGAGCTGTGCGCGCGGCGGGCGAGAAGAGGCGGCGGCAAAAGGACCTTTCAAATTCGGGGGTCCCACTTTGTCTGGGAACTTTGCCGGTAAGTGGGACCCGCGCGTCAACCTCTCCTGCTCGGCGGGCCGAGNGGAGAGCTGGGTCAAAGTCCGCGGGGATGGCGGCAGCCTTTCTCCTGGGAGCTGTTGCCGTCCCGAAGGCTCCCTCTCCGCCCGCCCAAAGCCGAAGCGTGTGGCCTTTTCGCCCCCTTCCTCTTCCTTCCGGGGCCCTCTGAACCGTAGGCGCGGCTCTCTTTGGCCTTAGCCTCGTTCAGACGAAGGTCCGAAAACGGCTTGCGAAGAAAGGGGCTAGCAATGCCTCTTCTGCATAAATTTTTGGGAGCCAGGTGAGGAAACGGGGACTTGTGCCCTACTTTACCGGAGTCCAGATTGGTGGGGGAAGGGAGGAAGCGCTCTCTCCCTGGGTTCAGCGGGCGAAAGCGGCGGGCTTGGATTTTTCCCGACGTTCTTCCTCCTCTCGGGGATTTTACTTTCTTTTGCTTCGTGGAGTTGCAACCCGAGCCCTTTTGGACTTCCTCCCGAAAGTAAGCTCGCGGAGGAAGGGTCTCGGGCAACCGTGTATCCCCTCTCTCTCCCCCCCCCCCCGATCTTCCTATTGTTCGGTCTGGTTCTGCACTTTATTGGATAAAAGAACTGGATCCAAAGCCTCGTCCTTCCCGGTTTTCCCGTGGCTTTCCCCCCCATGGGAGATTCTCCCCAACCTCCTTTGCTGCTGAATTCAGCACGCATGATCCGTCTTCGTGTGCCTAGACCTGTCTTTTTCACGGGGAGGGAAATTTTGGATATATTTAATAGTTCATCACTTCTCGATGTTTATTTAGAGAGGAAAATTGACTTACAGCGTGTTTTGTCTCTTGTGCCTCTTCTATTTTAGGTAATTCTCTAGTTTTGAACGTCGGGGTTATTTTTCATTGCCTCCGATTAAATGAGGAAAAGCTTTTTCAATTGAAAGGACAATATTTACTACCATGGAGTCGATCTGTTCGGTCACTTTCCACTTCGTGTTTTTCTGAAATCTTCAGAACCTACTGTAATCCGGAAAACTTACGAACTTTTGAAAAATTTTCCCCTTTTCATTGAAGACGCCTTGGACTAATTTTTGTCCCTATGGAATGGATAATTATATAAACGTCTTAGGCTCGACATTTCTTTCAAAATTCTTTATTTTTCAGTTCACAGAATTCAGGAAAAATTGAGATTGACTTATTTTGCCAATTATATTTAGAAATTAGATGTAGCTTCTAATTCTTCTCTTTTTGGTTATAGTTGATGGCAACTCTTATTTAAATTTTTAGGAGGATTAATATTGCTGCTTGCAGTGAACCCTATTTCCTACATGAAGGCAATGGACTTTATTTTTCATTTTCATTTGTTTTTTATATAAAGAAGCATTATGGAAATATTGAGATAGCTGCTGTGTGCACATGCCTGAATTAACTCTTAGAAATGCTCCTCATTTCAGATGTGGAATTTGTTCTGTTCTTTATGTCATAAAAGGAGTATTTATTTTTTTATAGAGCTGATGCTCATTATCGTGCAAAATACATGGAATAGAAAAGTGAAGAAACTTCAGAAAACAAGCTACTAAAATCAGACTTGTTTGCTTCAAGAAATAACTTGGCCAGAGTCCTTATATGTGAACAATGGGTAGCTGATTTTGGAGAGTCAGCTGTTTGCTATAGATGTAGTACTATTAAGAAGCTCAGGATATTTCAAGGGAAGAAAACCTGGAAAACAAATTGTGAGAAGTCGATGCCAATCTCTGCAGTACTCTTGGATTTTGTAAGTATTGATCCAAATACTCATTTTTGTAGACTTTAAGGCCATTCATGTTGCTTGCTTGTCCTACTACAGCAACTTTTCTTTCTCAGAGGAATAGCAATACATATTAAATTGAATATTTAAATATGCAGCTTGATTAATGCATGGATGTTTGAAATCATACTGAATTCAAGTTGAATTTCTTATATTTTACATTTAATGTTGGTGTTAGAAATAAGGTGTTCATATTCACATGTTCTGTTCAACTTTTTTCAAATAGGAAAATTTTTATTTCTGTTCCCTGTTTCCAACTTTTCCTTACACATGCATTTATATTGTGGCATATTATAGTGTCTTATAATATCTAACCTGAGAAACAGGTTTAATAAAGCAAGTTATTGACATTGAAACCGGATGTTTGAAAAAGTGCAACCTTTTAAAAACTCAAGTGTGGCTGTTAAGTTATATTTGTAAGTTTTGTGTGTGCCAAGACCATCACTGGGATGTAATAGTAATATTAGCATAGAAACAATTTTTATTAATGAGAAAAATTGAAGCAATTGTTAGGAAGTTTTCTGCTGCTATAACAGCTTTTGCCATTGCACTCGATCCACTAGCCTTTTCTATATCAATTTAAATGTATGTCTGAACTGTAGAAAAGCTTGTAGAGATCTGGAATCTTAGAACCATCTTGTTTATAGATTAGTTAATACTTGTTGCGTTGCAGTACAGTATTTCCTATATGTGTGAGTTGTAAGACTTTACTCAACAAAGATTTGCTATTAAAACCTCTTTGTTACCTTTTTTAGGTAACATTGCTGAGCCAAAATGTGGAAACTTGGTTGCCTCCATAGTATTTCATTGTCTCTTCCCTATCTAGATTATATTAGTAATGGTTTCCAGAGTCTTGTAGTAAGGTTAATAATTGGTGTTGCAAAGGACCAAAGGCAAGGTGTAGAATCTTGTTGTACAAAATAGAATTAGAATTGGTTCTAATTAGAAATAGAATTAGTTCTTAGATTTTAACTGGGCTTTCAGAACATCTGTAGGCTAATTTGATATCACTGAGAACTGATAAATAGTGATTTATAAATTTGTATTTGGTTTGTATTTCTGTTTAACAACGCTGCACATTTAATTAGGACAGAGCACACTTGATTGTTTAATGCTTCAATGTTTTAAATCTTGCAGGTTTATTTTCAACAGAATCCAGTGCTACCTCATATAAGATGGACAAAGCAATCTAATTCAGAAGTAAGTATCATTTATTGCAGTTTGTATGGATTTCCTGTTTTTCAGTATAAATTACATATACTTAATAAAACACAGTTTGAAATATTTAAACAGTAGTTTTAAATAATTTCCTATAGTTACAAATTTAATTACTTTAAAGCCTTAAATCAGATATAGTTACAAATTTAATTACTTTAAAGTCTTAAATCAGATATTAAATGTATCTTGCAAATAACTTTCTTTAGTGAGTACATAACATTTTTTACATTAAAAGATAAATAGAATTTAAGTTGGAATTTTCTTTTTACAACTTTATACTTTCATGTTTCTGTATTGCTTAAAGCAGTGATGGCGAACCTTTTAGAGACCGAGTGCCCAAACTACAACCCCAAACCCACTTATGCATCCTCGGGTGCCGGGTGGATGTAGCTCATTGGCTGGGTGTGGCCCATTGGCTGGGTGTGGCCCATTGGCTGGGTATGGCTGCGGTGGTAACGGCAGACTGGGTGGGACTAAAAAGTTCAATCAATCAATTCCAACTTTGCAAGATCTTTTTTTCCCCACGAGAAGTTGAAATTGACTGATTGATTGAACTTTTTTTTTTTTTTGCACATGGCAGTGGAGGCCTAAAGCGAAAAGGTTTTATAAAACCCAGCTGAAGGCCTAGGACTGGGGCAACGGCGCACGTGCCCACAGAGAGGGCTCTGAGTGCCACGTCTGGCACCCGTGCCATAGGTTCGCCACCACTGGCTTAAAGCATATCTTTCCCTATATTTCTACTTCCTGACAAGTATACAATCTAATTTGTGGATGTTTGGTTTCGGTTGGTATTTAGACTTTATCAAAAGGTTAGAAAGGAGGACATGTATTCATATTATTTAAAATGACTATGCAGTGCTTTGGATTTGATTCCAAGGAAACATTTCAGAGTAGTCATGTAATGCTCTGAAACGTTTAAAGCAGCTGTGTCTTTTCCCAGAGTCATGAAATAGCTTTGATGGGTAGCTGTGCAGTCTAGAAAAAAGAGTAGCTGCTGGGGTATTGCAGAAAGGTATAGTCATGCTTCTGAAACCTGTTTTTGAGTTTGAAGTTAAAGGGCCATGTGACCTTAGTTTTAATTAGAAGAAAAGGACAGGCATACAGTTTTATATGCAACTTAATAAATTAACCAAATGTATTTGGGGCCTTGATCCAAAGAGAAAATTTGAAGCTGCTTATTACATTTTTAAATTAAAAAAATTAATTCTTAATGGGCCATTAGTTTCAAACATTCACAGGAAAAAATATAGCATTTTGACAAATTGTGGTATTTCCAATTTCCATTTTTCATGGTTCTAGAACTGAAACATTTGTATGTAAAATTTGTGGCATGCTATCTTATTAGTTGCAGACAGTCCTTGCTTAACAATGTTAATTGGGACCAGAAACTGGCATTAAGAAATGCAGTCGCAAATTGAAAAATCATGTGATTGTGACTTGCAACTTCCTGCTAGCTTCCCCATTGACTTTGCTTGTGGGAAGCCAGCAGGGAAGGTTGCAAATTGTACTCACATGACTACATGCAATTACAAAACAAGAAATGGTTATAACTGTCAGCGCCATCATGGGTTTGAATAGTTAGTGAATGTTTGATAAACAAGGACTGCCTGTATCTGTCTCAGAATTTCAGCAAATGTAAACAAACATGTATACAAATGTATACAAAATCTTAGGGTCTTTTTAGTTTAGTTCTGTTAGGATTCATGTTTATAAATTTTTGTAGCTGAAGCAAGAAGTTAAGGATAAGACAGTACAGCAGAACATGTGAGAACACTTTTTTTTCAGATATATATGCTGTTGCAATTAAGAGTAGATAAGGAAACAATGGTAGAAATGAGTTGTAGTTCTTGTCAGTTGCAAACACAGTAACTTAATTCCATTAAAAAAACTATGTATACATTTTCCAGACCAAATCCTTTTTTGTTCATGAATTCATTGTATAGCCTTAGGCAAACTATCAGCTGCCATCCCATCTGCAGTACTAGAGATAAGTCTCATTTTTCTAAAATGGCTTGTGAGGATTATTAAGATAAATACTTTAAAAAGGCATAAAAACTTCAAAAAACCAATGTTTAATATTTTATAACATTTGTATTCTATATTTTCTCCAGAGAATCATGTCTCTATTAACAGAGTAGGAAACATGTTTTATCTGAAGTTTTATATACTAAATTTAATTGTTTGGTAAGGATTTCAATTTGAACTGCTCATCTCAAAGTGGATTGTTACTACTGTGTTGTTGGGTGTTTAGGTGAATTATGTCCCTATTGAAGTTTGACTGTCTGTAGGCAATATATCGACTTTTAAAGGAGGCTTTCTATATGTAGGAGTGGGGGTTGGATTGAGAAAGATTAATTAGACACAAAGAAAAAAATATTTTATTTTTTTAACAGCAGTAAGATTTTAAACAGATCGAGCTTTTTGTACTTTTGAGTGACAATCTGCATTTATGAAAATACTCAACAGCATGGACATGCTAAATTAATGAAGAGGAAAAGTGGTCCCCTGGCTGTATGAAGCATTCAAACCAGTTTTTGTGACTTATATTCTTTATCACAATTGCCAAAAATGGTTTTCTAAAACTATGAAGTGGAAAACATAAAAATGTAGTCACTAGATAGTCTTCATGTAGTTACAGGATTAACAAATCCTCTAACCCAGGAAAAGGGTAGGGGGAATCTGCATTCAACCCTTTATTTTTTTCCAAGTACTGTTAAGGGCAAGTCTTGGCTACCACAAGATAATGTATGATTTTGCTTGGGTAATAAACACGTTTTTTGGGGGAGGTGTATATGTTTATTTATTTATTTAGTTGTAATTGTGAAAAAACAAAATAAATTGACAGGTTGCTCTGGTGAACATCTGGGCAGTAATTGCAGGATCCAATCTGGGTCGATCATGGGGACCAGAGGTTTTGCCTTCCGAGCTTTCAGACTTGTGCTGGAGACCATTGTCAGGGAATTTGTCTACCAGAATATGTGCTTTGAATTATTCTATGCATCGTATTTATGTGGTGCTATCCTATTGGTTGATTGGTGTGTTGATATCCAGCGATTGGCTGTTTTTTTTTGTGCTGCCAAGTCATCAGGCTCCTAAATACCTGATAAGCTGGTGATAAATCACTCCTGTTGACTGGCCAGGGGCCCGTTTCTCAGGTTTCAATCATTTCCCTGGCTATGTTTGTATCTGCATGGCCAACAATTTTAGCAGCTGCGAAATTGAATGCATGTCCTTGTTTATTGCAATGAGAGGCTACCAATGAGTTTGGGTCTTGCTCTCTGACTGCTTGCTTGTATTCTTGCAATCTGGTGGTTAGCGTCCTCCCTGTCCTACATAGTCACAGGGGTTAGATTACATTAGAAATACCTTCCACCTCCAAGCGATCTTTGCAGTGCATGATTTGCCTTGTATGATAGCCTCTGTGTGATGTGCAATGCCCACTTGCAGATGTCGGAAGCTGCATTCTACTGCTTCTGAAATGTTTTTGATGTATGGCAGGATGTGTGCCATATAGTTGGTCTTATACCTTCTTCATTTCTGTTCCTTGCGTGTTGTCAGGCATCTTGTAATACATGCTTATGGCTACCCATTCTGCCTGAATTATCCATGTAAGTATCTTCTCTCCAGTTGGGTACTACAGTGGGTTCTCACTCTGCCATATAATGTTCTGATGCAACTTTTTTTTGGTGACAGTGGATGATTACTGTTGAAACTAAGAATGTGTTTCAGTAATTTTGTAATTGGGTTTTGTTTCAGTAATTTCTTATTAAAAAGAAAGTATTTATAAAAAAGGTCATTTTAGGTTACATGTAAAGAACCTGGTAGATTTGAATAGAATGCCAGATCTTCAGCTTCATAGAATCTTTCTTTAAAATATTAAAATAGACACACAAACAATAGTCTAGTCTAGTGGCGTAAACTATAATATACGTGAGGTTTTATAAGTAATTTAGAGGTCATCATTGAATTATTGGCATTCCTCACTGCCCTTTTCTCTTGGTTCTGCCCAATCCATTGCATTTAGGTCGTGAATGGTACCACACTATGTTGTCCATTCCCAGAGTTAGCAACCTATGATGTTTGAGATACACGTGTATGTATTGTTTAAATATACTCCTAATATTCAACTTACTTTCTGAAGAATGTTTGTTAAATAACACTTAGTAATGCATTATTTAACCGAGATGGCTTAGTGGTTAAAGAAGCTGAGCTTGTTAGCTGCTGACAGCCTGGGTTCGAGACCCAAGCTCTGTGCGATAGGATGAGCTCCCGTTACTTGCCCCAGCTCCTGCCCACCAAGCAGTTCGAAAACACGCAAATGCAAGTAGATAGGTACAACTTCGGTGGGAAGGTAACAGTAACAAAAGAGATAAAAGAAAAGGAAGACACAGAGTACTATTTAATATGGAATAAGTGCTATGACTGGTTGGAGACTAGAAATAATAAAGGAGAATAAATGTGGAAAGGTCAAAAGTGGAAAATGTGTGTATAATAATGTATAGCAATAATAATATGTATTATTTTTAGTATGAGGTATAGTATGAAAGAAGAAAAATGTAAACAAGAAACAACGGGACAACAAGGACAAATATTTCTAAAGAGGAATAAAGGGGGAAAATGTAAATAATAGAAGATTACCGTTACGAAATTGCTATTAAAAAAAAGGAGGAGTATACACTGTGTGTGTATGTGTGTTATGTTTTGTTGTTTAAAAAAAACAAAAAACCTATTCTGTACATTTTTGGCATATAGCCATGCTAGCCACATGACCATGAAAATTGTCTTTGGACAATGCTGGCTCCCTCAGCCAAGAAATGGAGATGAGCACCATGTCCTGGAGTCGGTCATGACTGACAGGGAAACCTTTACCTTAGTGATGTGCACTTAATGTTGTTGGAAGCCCCAAAATGTTTGGATTATTTTTCTGGAGTGTGCTGATTTGGTTATCTTTTGGAGGGGTTGTTCCAATAATTAAATAATAA